GACATTAGGCACTACTGAAAATTAAAAGACTATTAAAAGGAAAACCTGGAATTTTTAAGCTACACCTGATAAAGCTGAAGCACTCAGTTAAATTCCACAGTAGCTATATAAGTTGTAAGACCACTAAGCAATGTCGGTAGTGAGCATACTTCACACATCTAATCTCTTATAGTTAAAAAACTGCTTCATATTTTGCAAATAAATTTAGAACAAGGTGGGGTAGAAAGGGGGAACTGATTACAAGGATCAACATATAACCTCCTCCGTGGGGGTCGGACAACAGTAAAGTGGATTAAGGGAGACGTCAGACAGTGTAAGACATGACGAAATAATAATAATAATTTATAAATTATCAAGGGTTTGTGAGGGCAGGGGTGGCGGGGAGGGAGTGGGGAAAATGAGGAGCTGATATCAAGGGTTCAAATAGAAAGCAAATGTTTTGAGAATGATGATGGCAACAAATGTACAAATGTGTTTGACACAATGGACGTATGTATGGATTGTGATAAGAGTTATATGAGCTCCAATAAAATGATTTTAAAAAATAAAAGTAAATTTAAAACAAGTATTAAAACCAATAATAGGAAAGTTAAAGTTGGAAAGCTAACTTTAGGATTCTCAACAGGCACATACTGAACTGTTCACAAATTAATTATAATATTTACTTTATGAGTATGCAGAATAATCGATTTTGTAAATGAATAGTGTAAAAAGAATCCTGGATCCCACTTAGGGGCTTGGATTTCAACTCAGCTTCACTAACCAACTCTGATAACCAATGACTTGGGCAAATGGTTGGGTAAGATGATCTCAAGCCTCTTCCAGTTTCACATTATATGATTCAGTACCATAATGTGCCAAAGTCATGGAAAAACATACAATGTTAACACAGATACATGGTCACTTAAGGGGATGCATGTATTCTTTTATAGAGTTATAAGTGCAAAAGTTTGCAAAGAGATACGTAGAAGGTGTTGACTGCAGCCTTGTTCGTGATATCAAACATCAGTGGGATGTTACAGAGTACAGACGGGGATGTACGCCACTGAGCAGAAAGCAAAGAGCTCTGCGTGTGCTGACAAGAAAGTCTCTCCAAAGTTCTAGCACGCTACAAGACAATGCATGAATTACAACCTAATTTTCTTTTTAAAGGATAAAACACATTATGAGGGCATATGAATATAATTTTATTTTCAAAGTACAGTAAGAAGCAGCTTAAGGTGGAAACCAACTATAAAATGGAGCAAGGAAATGTGTGCTTCTCATTTTTTGTGGGGTGAATTTTTTCCCATGTGTATGTATTACTACAACTCTGAAATACAAAAAACAAACATTTTAATTACCAAGATAACTACTCACTTTGACTCTGCCCTCTAAAATATGGGTTACTTACAAATGGTATGAGCATCCACCACTTATGAATGTCAGTAAGCATTTGAACCAAGTAAGAAATTTCCCCTGCTATCCCATAACCCACTTTGAACATTTCCCACAAATGCTCCAGAGAATATTTAATCACTATTTCAGAAGAACTTGTGTATTGTATAAAATGTACTATGGCAATAGCACTTTTTAAAATACACCTACCTACCTCTATTACATATATATTTTTACATGTAGAAAGAACCCCCAAATGTCCAAAGCTATATATAAGTGAATTCAGGAAGGGAGGGGTCATGTCTGGAGTAACATAAATCAGAGATCTTTGTGTACAGATGGGAAATTCTCCTGTGACATGAAATAAAGTAGGCAGTCAACAAACATTTGTCACCCTGAAGTAGTGATGACAGCCAGATCCTTTAAGCAGGGGTCCTCAAACTACAGCCCACCGAGGACATTTATCGGGATCGGGTCCACCGGGTATTTTTGCCCTGTTTTCTTTTTTACTTCAAAATAAGTTATGTGGAGTGTGCATAGGAATTTGTTCTTTTTTTTTTTTTAAACTACAGTCCACCCCTCCAACAGGGCTAAGGGACAGTGAACTGGCCCCCTGTTTAAAAAGTTTGAGGACCCCTGCTTTAGAGCAAGGTCCTACCACATTATGACTTTCCTCGAGTATTTCTAAGCAAAAAACATTGTAGCTTTTCCTCAGTCGGGCAGCTGACCAATAGGGCACAGTCTGTTGTTCCCACTAAGCTGTGAGCTCCCCAAGGACCCAGCCTCATTTACCATCCTCTCACCAGTACTTGGCAATCCCAGTGTCTGTCAGTTGCCAGCACCCATTTACCAAGTGTCCAAGTAATTAGAGTTACCCTAACTATAGGGATGGACTGCAGGGTGAACAACAGCAACCAAACTACAGAGGCACCCCACTCGAGTCTTCTTCCTCCCCTGGCCCTCCAGGAGAAGGAAGCAATTATCTATGAATCCTTCAAGAGATCCTGTTTCTCCCCTTGCCTCTGGACAATAAAGACACTTCCCTCAGGGCCCTTTATCAAGCCCAGTGAGTTCAGCATAGGAAGTCAGTGACCTGTAGAAGATGGGAATTGAAACACCTCTTCTCTCAGACACTTATTCTGTCAATTCCACTAAATCATGAAGGTCAGAAGGCAGGACTCAATTTGATTCATCAGTTGCCATTAGTACCTGCCCAACAGCTGTTTATTGAAACCATGTGCTTTATCTCAAATATGACAAAGGGAAAAATGCAGCTTATGAGTCTATTCCTAAGAACTGGGCTCTGAATACAAGCAAGCAGGCTTCTAAAGTGTGTTTTGTTTTCTTTTTTAATGAACCTTGTTCCTTGAATCCATTTTATATCCTGGTTCCTCTTACCAACCTTCTTTTTCCAATTTAAAATATAAATAGCTGCCTATAGTTATCATTAACCAACCTCCTATTAATGGACATTTACATAGTTTCTAAATGCTTACTAGTATTTACTAAACTGAGAGAAATCTGTTTGAACAACTGATTATTCTATTATGTTCTATTTCTAGAAACAAAACTCTATGTGTACTTTTAAAAGAGTGATACATCTTGTTAAACTACTCTAAAAAAATTAGAGCAAATGATACTACCAATAGCAAAATAACACCCCCAGGGAGGCAATAATATAGCATAACGGGTTCATTTGCATTTTAAAAAGCAAATCTTATAGTGTCTGGGGTCTTAAAAGCTTGAAGGTAAACAAGCGGCCATCTAGCTCAGCAGCAACAAAGCCCACATGGAAGAAGCACACCAGCCTGTGTGATCACGAGGTGCCGAAG